GGGTATAAAAAGGGATACTTTCGCAGCCTTTAACAATTTTTCCTATCTCCTTTAAGATATAGACTTCCGAGCGGCAAGCGCTTTTACCCTAATCAAGATATGCGTAAATAAATAAGAATTGGAAAATTTTATGTTAGTAGCTTACACACTGCGCGAAATATTCTGATAATCATCAAATTTGGACCGATTTCACCCTATTGTTCCTATGGGAGCTATAGGATATAGACGTCCGATCGGCACGCGCTTTCACCTTGATCAATGTATGCATAAAAAAATACAATTTGGAAAGATTCATGTCAATAGCTTGTATACTGTGCGAAATATCCTAAAAATCATTAAATTTTAACCGATTTTACCTTTTTGTTCCTATGGGAGCTATAGGATATAGACGTCCGATCGTCACGCGCTTTTACTCTGATCAAGGTACGCATAAAAAAATAAGATTTGGAAAGATTTATGTCAATAGCTTTTACACTGCGCGAAATATCTTCCATTCTTGCAAGTTATATCCGATTGTTCCTATGGGAGCTATAGGATATAGACATCCGATCGGGGCGGTTTTCAAACTTGATCTGCGTACACTTGTTTTAGGACGACTGTGAAAGTTTCAGATCGCTAGCTTTTAAACTGAGCTCGCAAACGGTATTGAAACAGACGGACAGACGGACAGACGGACAGAGGGACGGACGGACAGACGGACAGACGGACAGACGGACATAGCTATATCGACTCCCCTATTGATCCTGATCAAGAATATATATACTTTATAGGGTCGGAAACGTCTCCTTCACTGCGTTACAAACTTCTGACCAAAATTATAATACCCTCTGCAAGGGTATAAAAATTAGCCAAAAAAGGAACACGAAAATTTAAATAGAATTTCCTCTTGCCTCAAAGTGAGAAACGATAAAGAAAAAGCTAAAAAGATCTGAGATGCTAAGTCCCACTAAGCGTGGGGATCTAAAGAAGTTTTGAAAATGTTATGAAAAATAAATAGAACAACTTTTGTTTTAATCGTAGCTAAGTGTTGTTTTAGCTCAAAACTTGTATTTTTTTAGTTAAATAAAATAAAACAAGAAAGGAAAGCTAACTTCGGGCGGAGCCGAAGTTGATATACCCTTGCAGAATACTCTATAAATTATATTCTCCAAAATTATTCATATGACGCATTCTTAATACTCATAAAAATTCCCAACTTCCTAATTTTAAAAACACCAAAGTTATGGCATTCCCGATCAATCAGTTATATGGTAGCTATAAGATATAGTCGGCCGATCCCGGCCGTTCCGACTTATACTGCGTGCAAAGGATGGGTGTGTACAAGGTTTCAATTCGATAGCTTTAAAACTGAGAGACTAGTTTGCGTAGAAACAGACAGACGGACATGGCTATATCAACTCAGGATGTGATCCTGATCAAGAATATATATACTTTATAGGGTCGGAGACGTCTCCTTCACTGCGTTGCTAACTTTTGACCAAAATTATAATACCCTCTGCAAGGGTATAAAAAAATAGATCAAAATCAAGAGCAGCCACCACCAAATTTACGGATTTTAGACTGAAATTAATTGTATGTATATGTTCTACTCAAATATAATTCTTTAACAAAGCCAACAAGCTATTGCCCTCAACAATCTGCCGGCAAATCAGTTTTAAATTGATTAAACGGTGATTTTTAAGGTATAAGAAAGTTTTATAAGGTGTAAGACAAAAAAATATAATTCTTACAATATTTTACTTTTCAATTCGAAAAGGTGAAACAGCTGATTTTCGGACTTGTAAAATAATAAGTACATGTGTTGAAAGCTCCAAGCTGGTGAATCAGTTAATAATAGATAAAATGTAGTATCAGTTTAAAGGTTAAATTAAACAAAATAAGGGCCACATTGATCATTTTGACACCGTGAACTCTATACATATTTATTAAATTTCAGTCAAAATTAAAAAGGTTCTGTCCATTTCTACGGAAACTAGTCCCTCAGTTTTAAAGTTGTTTCGATGAAACTCCTATGAGAACAATCGCGAAAAAAGAAATGAAATTATAAATTGGTCGTTATTTTTACAGTATTTTTTGACAACTTTAGATATACGGCTTACGTTTTTTTTTAATTGTACGACTTTATTATATGGCTGCCAAAGGAACAATCAGGATGCCTGCAAAAAACAATTTTGCATCGATTTTTATAGATTTTTAATTTGTTTTTGTTCCATTAACAGATATTGTCATTATAAATACTTTTAAAGCATTCGAAGAAAATTGTATCTTAGCTCTTTGAAAAAAGTTTCTACCGGTTTCAAAAACGTAGTTTCGAGAAATGAGTCTATAAAATAATGATTTAATAATTTCTTTTTTAATAATGTTTAATTTTCTTTCTGTAAGTGTATATTAATTAACTTGGGGTACAACTCTAGCCCGCCTCGCATCATGGTCGCGGCAACTTGAATTTCCAGGCTCCTCCTCTGATTTCCAAATCCAGCGTCCACATTTTATCCCCCGTTTTTGTCTCCGAGCTCGGCTTGTCATTATGCGCCAGCTGTTTGCCTGCACTTTGAGTTATGTATTGTAGGCCGACTTGGCATTTTTGAACTCGTGTCAAACATATATACCTACACAATCTCAGATACATATTGCTTGGGTCTTACGTTGTATCTATGTGTTTGCAATAGGAGCAGAAGTCAGTGCAACATGTTGCCACTGCCATGAAATGTAAATAAATTTCTCATGCGGTCTGCCTTGTCGTAAAACATGAGGTTAATGCGGTAAAAGCCGGCTAGACATCTGATTCATGGACGGTGGAGTGTTTGAAAGGGGGTACAAAGTAGTTTTCAACAGCGGGCAACATATTGTTGCCAAAGCAAACTATCAAGGACAGTAAGTGGCATTTAATGGAGTTTACTTGGGGAAAGGGATATGCAATCCCATATTTCATTCCCAGCTTTGGTTGCTCACAATAATTGTCTGGGCTAAAAATGGGAAGCAGCCCAGAGGAAGCCACAAATCTAAACAAGTTGCACAACAAAATCTGGTCGAGTTCACTAAGCATATTTTTTAAGGCCAAATTCAGTGATTACTTTTAGGCAATCAATATCATTATAAGAGATTTCAATATCAACCTAAGAAATTTTGTTTTTAATAATTGGGAATAAACTAGTTTTTTGGGGTCCCCATAAGGAAGTAATTGTCAAAGTTGGCGCAAATATAATAATTTGTTAGAACAAAATATACATAATTTAAGGGGATTAAAGGGATGAAAAAGACCGCAGCAGACAAAACAATTTCTTAACCAAAATGGTTGTTTTAATTTTAAAAGATTTTGGAAAAGTAATTTTCTTTTGCGTTTTTCTCGAAGGCTGTTAGACCAAAATCTAAAAAACTATTAAAGTGTGTTTTACAAAAATATTTGTAATTTTTGTGTAGAAATTTGTTTGATTAAGCTTACATCGTCGAAGATATGTGCAATTAATTAAAACTTTTTGAAATACAAAAAAATAGCTTTTATTGTTTGAACCGATACTCGTTTACATTGACTCGAAAGTGAAGTGTCTCCATTGTGAATAGCTTTTTCGATCGCTTACAAAAGCTCGAAAATTTATGTTTCGAAAAAAAGCGTTTAAAAATAACCGGTCGACGGCAGCGACATATTGCGTATTTGAAAAAAAATTATTTGCAAAAAATGTAAGTTTTTAACGTTGAAAAAGGGGTTTTTTCCTTAAGCAAAATCTTTTTTTAAATTTTGTCTTTATGATATATGCATATACCTTTATACCCGTTTATAAGCAGTCCTATGTAAATAATTTGTATCTTGACTGTGTCGCATTTGCCCTAAGGGCGCCCTAAAGTATGCAACATTTGTTTGGAATTATTGCGGTCTTGTCTGAGATTTATTTTGGGTCCTTTAACCTCTTGACTTAAGCCTTTACCGCCTTTACCCTGCCCTTAGGCAAAGAGCCAGTCACGCAGTCAATTATTATAAACTGACAAAACTGCTAAGGTAACAAATTTTGGAGCTCATGCTAAAACCCAGTTGGTCTGTCTATTTATTTAACACACACAGACATGCCAAAAAATTGAGTTAAAACTTTTTTGCTGTGGCCAATAGGGTGGAGCTCGGTGCAAAAGTAATTTGCCGCCCTTTTTCCCGCCGCTCTAACTCGCACATAAACTTCTAATTGGCACCACATTCCGCATACGCCGCGTTGGCCCATGGGAAAAAGTTCTTCACCCAGCCTGTCCGGGGATGAGCCCAAAAAACGAGGGCAAAAACTTTGACGTTTTGTGTGCGCAAAAGTTATAATAGATTTTTAGTTTCACTCATTTAGTAGAAATATTTTCAGAGGGCGGAGGATCTGCCCTCGACCAGGAAAACTAATCATTTGTAGTTATGGACTAAGTTGACTTTTCCCCCACAATGTTCAAAGATTGAATTGGATTGTTTTGGGCAGGAAGGTCACTCAATTTGCCTTTTATGGAAGTTGTGTAAATTGTTATTTAGTTGATTATGGTCAAGTTAATGAGGTAAACCAAATGTTTTAAAAAGAAAAATCGTTTAATTTTTAGTTTCACTACAAGAGAAACCCATTTGAAACTTACAAAAACTAAAGTAGAGAATTGCCGGTCTAGAAATTCTGTAAAGAAAATTCTTTCTGAAAACTAGGGCATATTTTCTTATTTTTATTACCACGCTATCTAATTTTAATAATATATCTAATAAGAAAATGTAAATTTTTATTTATTTGTACAACATTTTAATGTCAGGATTAAATTACTTAAATAATTAATCAGCCTTTAACTTATTGTGAACAGTTTTAAGTACAGTCCATATTATTATTTTCATTTACACTATCACGTACACTATGCGAACGATATCAGAATTAATGCAATTAATGCATGACCATTTTCACTCAGCACTCCTTTTACAATTGAACTGCAAGCAGTGTTGGGAAAGGTACTGTTTTTTTTTACCTAGGTAAGGTAAAAGATATTGGACAAAAATAAATACCTAGGTAAGGTAAAGGTACTTCAATTTCCCAGTACCTAGGTAAAGGTAAACGGTAAAAATATTGTTTTCTCAATTTTTATAATTTTGTTGTTTTATTTATTTGTTTTTTTTTTTGTTTTACTACATTGGGGAATCAAGTCAACTTAAAATAAGACTAGGTTTCAGTTTTTAGTCATCTTAAAAATATGTAACATTATCTTTTCATTTCATTTCAATCTCAATTTAAATGTTATCTTTTTTTAACATAACCAATGTTTCAAAAAATATATATCAGCTTTTGTACAAACGAAAGGGATATCTTTATATATATCTAGTTATCTACGTTTATCGAACATCGACTTAATAGTTTTTCGGGACGGTATATTAACAGGACGTCCACCAATTGCAGATAGAGGCTCCTTGAAAGATTTTTTCTCGACGTAAGTTATCGGTAGCATCTCCGCCACGATGTAGTCGCACACTTTCTGATTGATCTGCAAATATTTAAATAAACACACATTATTATATATTGAGTTTTTCAATTTTGTCATTAATTTAATTACCTGGGCTGAACTCAGGGAACCAAAAAACGATTTTGAATTATCCTTAGAAACTTCCATATTCGTCTTGGCTTTCTTAGCTTTCATGGCCTCGTAACAGCTTGGATGAACCCTCTAAATTTGTTGAAATTAAATCCAATTATTTAGAAATATAAGCTTGAATAATTTCATGTATATATTTTTAAAACACACGGCATGAATGTGAATAAGGATAAAATCGCAGTTTTATTTTATATAATTTTGTGCCCGTATGTATGCACGTATCACTATATTAATGTATTTATGAAACCCTCATGTACATATTTGGCGCGCAAAATTTTCGTATGTAGAAACTATATATTGTGCATATGTATATGCCGTATGTTTACGTACTTACGGCATTTTTGCGCGCCAAATACACTTTTTTCTCAATATGTACAAGAGGAAAGTGTATTTGAGGCGCAAAAATTCCGTATGTAGAAACATTTTACTATATATTGTGCATATGTATATGCCGTTTGTTTATGTACATACATACGGCATTTTTCCGCGCCAAATACACTTGGGTTTCATAAATACATTGATGTAGTGATGCGTACATACATACGGGCACAAAATTATATAAAATACAACTGCGATTTTATCCTTATTCACATTTTCATTCTCAAATATGTACATAAGTAATGTATACATATGTATGTACATATCTTACACATAAAAAAACGCATATGCTTACCTTGAGGTGTTTGTGCAGATTTCCTGTCGATTTATCATCGAATTTTATTGTTTTATTAACACACAACACGCACTTGCCATCCGGGTTAAAAAATTTGCCATTTAATATTAGTGGCAACACTTTCTCATTTGCATTTTCTTTTTCGGCCATGTCTGTCTGTCGCGCAGAGTCAAATTGTTTTGTGCATATGTGAAAATTGCAATGCAAAGGTTACATCACAAAACAAACATGAGAATGGCTAAGTTCCCTTGACTTTTAATACTGCGTTCCGACTATTACAATTTCGAAACGAAATTGACGTGTAGATGTGGTGGATTTTGCTTATTTCAATGTCGCAGTCAGATTTGGCTATTTTAAATCAGAGCATTGTTTAATACCTATACAAGTACCTTAATAATTCCGAAGGTATATAAAAATCTGTAACTAGGTAAGGTAAAAGGTACCCAATTATTTTTATACCTAGGTAAGGTAAAAGGTACCACTAAATTGTACCTAGATACGTACCTAGGTAAAAATATCTAGGTATGTCCCAACACTGACTGCAAGTCAAACTAAGGTACATAGGCTTAACAGAGGATTCTAAATGGGGGAAAAAGTGTCCTTAAGCCTAGTACTCAGATAGAAAACAAGTTTTTTAGCTAAAAAACTTTAAACCAGTTAAAATTTAAAAAATGTCTTTGACAGGATATTCTTAAGTCCTTTGCAAGTCGAGTCTGCCGGTGTACAACGAAAATAAAAACCATACTATTTATGTTTAATAGTTGTTCTTTTAATATATTAATGATTATTTTGTTATTTAAATTCTTGCAGGCGATTTAGCAGGGTTTTTTTTATCAGGTTTTTCAGACTATTTTTTATCTAAGAAACACTCTGCGCTGACAACAGACTCTTTAAAGGATTAATTTTCTAAAAGTTCAATCTAAATTCGAATGCAATTTTAAGACATTAGTCTTAAAATCTTAAGAAAATAAATGCAGAACAGTTTAAATTTATTTTCCACTATTCATCTGCTTTATCACTGTAATCTCCTTCTGTGAGTTTCGCCGGCTAAAACTCAATTATATTTGTTTATTCATTCTTAAAACTAATCCGGCTGTTTTATGTGTTTAACTTGGCCAGCAAACGCATATATCTTGGCCAACTCCACTCAAGAAAACTTTGTTGTTCTTGTCTCTGGTCTGGGGTCTTTTGGCTTTTCGGCTTCGCATTCCTCGCCAGTCTCGGAAAACTTTCCCCTGGGCGTCATGCTGTCTGTGCTTGTGGCTTTCCGCTGCCAGTTTTATGGTCGGCATTCTACCACCCACCGCCCTCTGCTTCCCTGTTTTGCCTCCTGGTTCATATATCTTTAATTTTTTATGCCCCCCGTTATGTCAGCACATTTGCCATAGCATACTTTTCAGCAGCCACAGAACTTGAATTGCTGTCATTAGCGGAAAAGATTCTAAGGATGCAGGATGACGGATATTCCACTACAGCAAAATCACGATATACTTAATTTTTTAAACATTTAACAATTAAACTTGATTCGTATATAAATTTAAAATTATGATATTTTTATTTCAATATAGTTTGGGGAGGATGGGGCAAAACCGACTGGATCAAAATTTTTTTATATTTTTTGTTAAATATACTACAGTTTAGTTGGTTGCCATTAATTCTCAGTCTATTTAATAATACGCAAAGAAGAATATTAAGTTGAAATTAAACATACTTTTTAATCACCATTTTGCAGATAATATTTAGACCAGTCTTTAAATTTAAATTAACCTAATTTAAGGTTAACCGAATTGTGAAAACCAATATAGGACCCGAAAACAAATTCGAGTTCGAAATGGAACATTTTTATTTTTGTATCTTTTAAATGTTATTTAAAATTAAATATCTGTTAAAATGTTATTTCAGGTGTGGCGCCTTGGCTTTTATTTGTGAGTGCTGACTGCTGACTGCCTTGTGGCCCATAACTGGGTCAACAATGGGAGCTCTTTGAGGTTCTTTCCTCTTTCGTGTGCCACCCCCGCTCGTTTCTATTCTGTCATCCTTCCCTTCTCCTTTGTGGTTATTCTGGTTTGTTGCTCTTGCCATTGTTGGGGCCATCGCCCGTTTACAAGTCAAGTGGCGCGCATAACACCAAAAAATTGTGTAACGAAAACAATTTATTTTGCCGTATAACTTGTCGTTTCACTGGTTGCTCCACCTCCTGTCATTGTCAGCTGGCCAGATTTGAAAGCCAGATTCCGACAGACTGCCATGGTTTTTTTGTTTTTGGTTTTTATACCCTTGCAGTGGATACTATTATTTTAGCCAGAACATTTGAACGCAGTTCAAGAGGCATTCCCGACCAATTTAGGCATACTTAGGATCGGTATATTAGGATCATCAGCCGACAAAACCAAAATAAGGAGAAACCTTAAAGTCAAGTGCCTCGATAAATAATACCCTTAACTCAACTTACCAATATCAAAATAAATATATACAATTTAGGAAGCGCCATCTGCGGAACTGCAGGGCAAACACCACAAGCTGCGATCACTACCCCCACCCCCGCTAACTGTTTTCTCGCTCTCTTTTACTCTCTCAAATATAGGAACTTATTAAACATGCATTGACGTCATGATGAACACTTAATATGTTGCATAACTTTTAAAGTTATGGTGCGATTTGGAAAATGTGTCGATAGATATTGACAGAATAAGCCATTTAAGTACGGCTTTGACATGGTACGCCCAATAACTGGCCCTTAAGAAGTATCTTTAGGGGTTATCCCGGTCTTGACACTTCAAAAAATTCATTTATTTGAAACTTTTTTATATAATAGTACAAAGTGTCAGGAATGTTGTCTGAAAATTTTAAGTCGATCGAAGCAAAACTAGGAATGGGAGTAATTTAAAGCCCAGCGCGTCGAATGATTTACAACTGGCGTCGAGCAAATGCGGCACTTTAAACGCGTTTTTCTCAAAAAAACTTTTTCGAAGTCGGTAGTCACGTTTTCTCAAAAACTATTGCATCGACTTCTGCTTTTGCACACTTCTTTTAGACATGTTTTTGTTGTCCTTAACGAAGGGATTTTTTTTATTTTTAATTACAACTCATTTTATAAGCCAAATTATGACCAAAATTTACGTAAAAAATTACACTTTTTATGAAAAGCGCTACAAAAAATTTAATTATTAATTTTAAAAAAATGGCTCGTAAAGGACAAGCCAGACACATACGCTATCAGAATAACTTTAATTTTTTGATTTCAGATAAAAATTGACGGAGATATTTTGCCTACCGCAAGGACACAATTTTTTATGTGGCAGGCTTGAGCCGACACGGCTCAATTTTAAATATTTTTGGTTCAAATTTTTACACAATGTTGGTCAAACCTTATACATGTACAATACATGTACAATAAATAAAATTTTTAAAATTGTCGTAAGATCTTTTAAAAAAATTAACGAAAATATGCCTTTTTTCGTGCTTCAAGACCCGGATAACCCCTTAAGTGAATTGTCTGAGATCTCTACGCTCATACGGACGGACAGACAGGCGGTCATGTCTTAAACGTCTCGGCCATTGATCCTGATCAAGAACATATATACTCTACAGTGTCGGAAACGCTTCCTTTTACCTGCTACATACTTCCCAACGAATACTGTATACCCTCTTACTCTACCATGTGTAACGGGCATACATAAGTAGCCTCTCAGTTTTAAAACTGTTTAGAAAAAACTTTTCTAAAAGTCTTCTTTCTATTGCAGGTAGAATATGTGACGGTACTGCCTAGAATGGTAAAACTAATAGAAATATCGGCATAACTAAGTTTATTTAGAAAGAGTTGGGCAAAAGATATACAGGCCTGTTCCTAATAATTTAAAAAAAAATAAAGAGAGTTTTTTATTTGGTTCGATCGAACATGCAACGGAATATTGATGCACTGCTCAATCTTATTGTTAAGGACTCAAGCACATGCTAGATCTGGAGATAAATCAAACCTTCAGGACCAAAGTTTCTCGGATGTCTTGGCTTCTCGCACCACGCAGCAAGCTCTCACTTGGTTGTAAGGTTCAAATTTATAAGTCCATATGAGCGCCAAGTTTTTTCTATGGACTCCGGGTTTATGGCATCGCTGCAAAAACCAACCTCAACAAAATCCGGGTTCTGCAAGCGAAAACACTTCGAAGGATCTCTGGAGCTCCGTGGTTTATGCGAACTAGTGACATCGAACGTGATCTTAATGTGCCCAAACTTGGAGACAAGCTGCTTGAACTTGCTCGGAAGTACATAAAAAGGCTAAATGAGCACCCCAACAGCCTAGCCGAGAGACTTGGTACCGTTGCTATAAACAGCGCTCAACCAAGTAACTGAGTCAAAAGAAGACTGAAACGACACCACTCTCAACACCTACTGGACTAATTAGACTAATTATTATGTTATTTTTTTTTTAAACCGATTAGATTAAGATACTAGTTGGATAGCAGTGTGCTAATCTTAAAAATAAAATTTAAAAAAAAATAAAGGTAAATCAAAGTTAACTTTGAACAGCATAGCTTTGGCTTTAAGCCAGCTGTTCTTATCCTAAGTAATAGACCAATTCCACCGACAATACTTTAATAATATAAGCCAACTCCCCATTTTTTTACGCAGGGGCTTCCATAGTGAAAAAGTGAAAAATAAATAATAATGTGTATCAAATTGATTTGCACAGAATGTTTTGAACTTATCCATCAGAAAAAACTAATACATGTAAAACACATCGCTCTTTTAAAAAATAATATTTTTTTCTTAAGCGAAAAAATAATTAAAACAAGAAAGGAAAGCTTACTTCGGGCGGAGCCGAAGTTGATATACCCTTGCAGAATATTCTGTAAATTATATTCTCCAAAATTATTCATATGATGCATTCTTAATACTCATAAAAATCCCAACTTCCTAACTTTAAAAACACCAAAGTTATGGCATTTCCGATCGTTCAGTTATATGGCATCTATATGATATAGTGGCCCGATCCGGCTCGTTCCGACTTATATACTACCTACAATAGAAAGATAATTTTTGGGAAAGTTTCAAGCTTTAAAACTGAGGGACAGACAGACCGACATGGCTAGATCGACTCTCCTGGTGATGCTGACCAAGAATATATATACTTTATAGGGTCGGAAATATCTCCTTCACTGCGTTGCAAACTT